TCTTCATGTCATTTAAAATATGATTAAAATTCAATTTACATGCTTTTAGGGGGAACTTTTTTTGTAAAGTGAGGTTTTCATAAATTAAAAATAAAATAAATAAAATAAAATAATAGAATTGTGGCTTATAGATTATAGCATGACTGATTCAGGGCTGGATTTAGAGTTGGATAGGACCTTACGGGTCATTTAATCCAACTCCCTCATTTTACAGAAAGGGAAACTGAGGCCCAGAGAAGAAAAGCAACTTCCCAAAAGTCGTATGTTAGTAACTAGCACGGGAAAGACTTTAATACAGACCTCCCCCATTCCAACTTTAGATTTAAATTTTTAAAAAAAAAATAAATTACAGTGTGGGTCTTAGGATCATTGATTGAGTACTTTGGACCTTAGAGGTCATCTAGTCCAATTTCCTTCTTTTAAAGAGAAGGAAACAGATTTGCTCCAAGTCACTCGGTAGCAGAGGTGAGATTTTAATCCAGGTCCCCAGATTATAAGTTTAGTATATTTCCCTTCATTGTACCAGGCTGCCTGTCTATGATGAATATGATTCCTTCATATCCACATTTTAGGAAGTTCATTTTTGCACAGCCCAGTTACTCCTTTGGGGCTTTTAGGGGAGAAAGAGAAATGTAATCAAGCAGGCAGGAGAGAGTTTTTGACCAGCTCACTGTCATCATCCCACCTCCTTGGGCTCCCTAACTATCTCACTGACTGCGTCCTGGGCAGCTTGGTCAGAGGCTATCGTCCCTGTGGGCTATGTGAAGATGCTTAGCTTTTGAGATCATCTCACGAGTTTATTCCAACATCCTGGACTGGAATCTTTCTGAGATGAGACATTCATATTTATTCTTCCTCTCTGCCTCTCTCTGTCTCTGTCTCTCTCTCTCCCCCACCCCTCCCTCTCCCTCTTTTTCTCCTTCCTCCCTCCCTTCCTCTTTCCCTCTCTCTCCACCTCCCCCACCCCAGGGTCTAGTGTAGGTTATAAATTCCAGCCATTTACCATCATTTTTACTCCACAATTTCTGTAAAAAATAAAATATGACAGCTGTGGACAAACAAGACAGAACAGAAGAACAAGGACAACAAGGTAACCAACCAGAGGTCCTCGTGGGCTGCACCCACCCAAGTCGGAGGACTCAGTTTGCTTCTGGTTCTGCCTGACTCTGTTTGATAGCATCTGGTGTAAAATGAAATTGGCAACACGGATGCACTTGATGAACATTCCCTGCCTCACCCCCACCCCCAAGTCCATTGGGTGTTCTCACCCCAGAACCGGGCTGCTCTATGCAGAGCTCCAAGGGATGCTATTGGCCATCTCATCCAAACTCGAAGTGTAAGAAGACTCTATTTGGAAAGTACACTGGGGTTTTCCTTCTCTGGCCTTTTCCTTTGCTATTCCCTCCTTGAGTTAATCTGAACAATATACAAATACAGAGGAGAGAGGGGACAAGAAGATGTGAACGTGAAAAAAAATCTAGATGGCACGGGATTCTCACAATCCTGGGTTAGTATTTACTATAAAGAATTAACACTCTTCTGAATGAAACCTTTAATTCATATTTGGGAAGGAAAAAGAATGACCATTTATTTTATGTAATAAATATATTTTCCCATTGATTTTTTTCTTTAAATTTTTACATCATTTAGGAATTGCAGGCTGAAGATGAGAGAGGGCTAGATTTCTATCTGTTGATTTTCCTGATAGAATGTAAGCTCTATGAAGGCAGGGACTGTTTCATCTTTGTTTTTGTATTCCAAGCACCCAACACTGTGCTGGCACGTAACATATGCTTAATAAATGCTTGTTGATCGATTTATTAGTTTTAAAGTCAGAAAACGTGTGTTCTTCTCTTGGCTCTGTTCCTGACTTCTCTTGGCATCAGTTTCTTCTCCACTCACAAATGAGGGAGGTAGATTCTAAGGTTCCTTTCAGCACTTAAGTCTATGATTCAGTCCTTCCCTGCATTTGTTTACCCCTTCCTACTGTTTGTAGGAGCATAAAAGCCAATGAGAGGCAACATGGATAGAGAGCTGACTTTACGGTCAGAAAGACATGCCTGTTTTGTGAGCCTGAGCAACAGGTATCCCTCTAAGATGAGAGAGAGAAAGAGAGAGAGAGAGAAAGTGAGAGAGAGAGAGAAGAGAGAAGAGAGAAGAGAGGGGAGAGAGGAGAGGGGAGAGAGAAGGAAGAGAGAAAGAAAAGGGAGAAAGGGGAAGGAGGGGAGAGATGGAGAGAGAGAGAGAGAGAGAGAGAGAGAGAGAGAGAGAGAGAGAAGAAAGGAGAAACCTTGTTTGTCAGGAACTTGACCCAAGATGCCCCAAGCCCAAGGGCAGATACTCTTCCTCCCTTCCAAGTATATGTCAAGGAAGTCCGTGGCCCACAATTTTCTTTCAACAAGGTCCCCAAATTCCCTGTTGCAGCTAGGCTATGGCTTGGGGAGAGGGAGTTTGTGTAGAGCTATAGGGAAACACACACACACACACACACACACTCACCACACACATACACACATACACATATACCCCACACCACACCACACCACACCACACCACACTACACCAGCTCGGCTGATTGCAGTCAGCACGCCTTGTCTTGTTTGTCAGATCTGCGGGGCTTACACTCCTCTATCTAAAGTTCCATCAGCAACTCTCATGACAAAGCAGGAATGTAACAGAAAAATAAATCAGGGCCTAATGGCTTTCAGAGAAGCCAAGGGGAACTCAATTATGTGGCATCTACATGCTAATCTGGCAGACTTGAGTCTCAAAGGCTCTCAAGAGCCCTACTCCAAATTCCTGCAGTGATAAGGGGCGGCTGTATGTGTGTAACTGGGGTTTGGAGAAAAAGATTTTTATGATAATTATCTTTGTATGGAACATTTTTGCATTTTCTTTCTTGTGCAATTCAGAGTTTAACTGGGGGGGGCAAGGCTGGGGAGGGCAGAGGAACATTAGGCAAAGTGGGGGGAGAAAGAGTATTAAAAAGTCAAATATTTGATGTTGGGCTATTATATTTCAAAAGCAATTAGCCCACAAATGTTGGAAAATTTATTAGGAGAATGTAGCTACAGGTTATTTAATGCTGAACATGGAGGGGACCAGGGGCTGGGGTGGGCTTTTTTCCCCCTGGCACCTTTTGCAAGAGTGAACATTCAATACACAAATGAAACTCCATTGTCAGACCCTGCTGCCCCGAAAGTTAAGTAGATTTATCTTTTCCAGTCTGCCTTTCCCTCCCCCCGTGCTATCAAAGACCTATTCAGTTTTTAACACTTATTTTAAGGAAAATGAGAGCTTCCCCATGCTGCACAAGGTCCTAGAAATTTATTTTTTCTCTCCCCCACTGCCTAATTAATACCAAACCCCAGCAAAGAGCACAGATAGGATCAGAATCGAAACACTGCCCCTCTGCTGTATTTTTTTTTTTGTTTGACAAGGGCATAGGGCACTTAGCAATGGGGAATGAAGGAAATTTCCTGAAAGCTGTGGGTGGCTGCCCCATAATCCTGCTGGCATTCAGGAGGGGGGAGCTTGGGCAAAGAGAGAAAGTGAGGTTCCCCAGCCTGGTCCCCATGGCCTCCTTGAGATTCTGACAATGGGCTTCCTGTCTGTCAGGATCCCAATGCTCTTGAACATGGAACTGTAATGTTCCTTAGAGGATTATAAAGTTCACTATATTATTTATTAACAAATTATAAATTTGGTGGGTTTTGGGGGAAAAAGGATAAATAAAACCTCCTTCCTTCCTTCTCTAGTCTAAGTTGGATGGTGGGAGGGTGGGGGGCAGAGGGGATGAAGCCTAAGATTTCATCATGGAGATGCTATATTCCAGCTTGCTTTTGAAGTCTTGCTCAGTAGGAAAAAGTCAGCTGGGTTATTAACCCCGGAGACAGGGGCTTGTCCAGTTTGCACTGTAAGATTTAATCACTGAAATCACAGAATCTACAAGGACCTCAGTGGCCGTATGGTCCAATGGCCAGAAATCCCTTCTAAAACGTTCCCAATAAATTCATTGATCCTCTAGACTCAGAATTATCCAGTCCACTTTTCTATTGTTAGTTAAAAATGGGAGTATTGGTGTATTGGTTTAAAATACCCAAAGGCTAATTGACTTTGTTTAATGTGAAGAGAAAAAAAAAGATATTCTGTCAAAAGATGGTTTAAACATTTGACTTTTCTTTGTGGTATTCGGAAACCTGATATAGTCTTGGTCAGATGACAGGTGAACCAGAAAGGAAAATTCCCATTTCAGAAGCAAAGGGAAACAAATTCTGAAAGTGGTGAGGCTGAAAAACACAGTATTAAGAGAACCAAGAGGAAAGACTAGAAAACCGTAGGACATTCCTATCAGATGATTTTTATTATTATCATCAATATCACAGTATCTATAGTCACTGTCCTTGCTCTCAAATTTTAGGATTTTTTCCCATCCAATGCTCTTAGCTTAAGAGTATTCTTTCCTTTTTGGATTCCCCCTGCCACTATTTTGCTTAGGATGGGATGATTTGACAGAAGTCTATACTTGCTATAATAGTACAATCTTTTCCCCTTTAGGATGGTGAAAGTTGACTATGTGACTCAAAGCCCACTAAGAGGAAACACTTGAAAGTCAAGAAACTTCACTGGATGATTTCTTAAAAATAGTGAGGAAAAAAAGAAGAAGAAATGGGGCTCCAGGCATAGAATAATATCTTATTCAACACAACCATATCCCCCCTCTCTCATTTTTAAGTTTGTCTTTAAATGCATCCACAAGGAAGAAGACCTTGAATTGCTTCTTTCTAAATTCCAATGAAAGAATGGTTAATCTTGCCAGCAAGTACGAACCATGGGAAAACCAAAGAATCCAGGATGGATACATCCAGAATGCAGTTTCTTTGGTTAACTCGCAGCCGTGAATAGTCCATGGTACCTAGGATACAGGATGTTGTCCGGATGCTCCCCAATGAGTTCAAAGGGGGCACAGGAGAACAGATTCAGGGTGGGTGAGGACTTACCTTCAAGATTGGGTGGCATAGTCCCAAGTGAATAAGCCCCTTCCTTCATATACAACAGCAGCTCTTCTCCAGGTTCGATGTTCTTAATGACTTTATAATAAATCTAGAATGGAGAAAACAGAGACACATATAAAGTATCTTTTCTTTGTGAAAACCACTTATTACATATATAAGCTCCTATGCCATTTCCTGCTGCCCCTCACCCCTCCAACCCCCCTCAAGTTAATCGAGGAGGTTGGTTTGTTGGCCACTTGATTGGATTTCTAATTGCTGTTGAGAGGTCTTAGTCTGGGACTTGTTGTAGAATATGTTAGATTTCGAGGAACTCAAAAATCACATTATGACTTGGACCTTAGAACAAATAAGGAACTCATATGTGTATGTATACACACTAGTTATTTTAATTTTCTCCATTTCCAGATATTTTTTTAAAGGGAATTAAAAACGAAACAGATGCAAGAGAAAACACCAAGTTTCCATTCTGGGTGTGTTTGTGTGGGGCAGGAGTGGATTATGGAGGCTCTTCTAGGCTTTGATTAAGACAATGGCCATGAGCTGTTGGTCTCCCTTTTGTTAACTTGTTTGACGTCATTGTGACTTGGTATTGCTTTGGCTGGGTCCCTAGGGCTTGGAGGTGAACCTGGCTGTTTATAAACAAAACCTAACGTGATTGTGAAAATAATCACCAACTTAACATGTCCAAAGCTTCAAAGAAATCAGGCCATGGGCCTATGGAGAAACCAAATCCCCTCAACTTTCCACTCTTTCTTTCCCCTTTGGTTTTCATTTGGGCTTCTGCAGGGTTTCAGGTTCCTGCCCTTAAAAATCAAAGGGCAATACTAAGCATTAGGCTCCCTCCTAGCTCTGACATTCTCAGTTCTAGAGTCTCTCCCAGCTCTGACATTTCCATATTCTAAGATGCTTCCAGACTCTGACATTCAATGTTCCATGACTCTGAATGCATCTTCCCCAGGTGAATGCTGGAATCCTTAGTACCTAGTGAGGTTCAGGGAAGAAGAAGGATCCAGGATGGTCCACATTCTCAAAGAAGTCTAGAAACCATTTAGACTACCCCAAAAATCACATCCACAGGCACCTGGTGGTTTCTGAATCCCTCATTGTGAAAGTTAGCTTAGTACTGCCACCATGATGAAATTTTGAAAAATATGGGTCGCATTACTAATGTCTTTAGGGGCAGCCAGGTGGTGCCATAGTGCATAGAGCACTGGGCTTGGAATCAGGAAGACTCATCTTTCTGAGTTCAAATCCAGCCTTAGACTGTATGATCCTGGGCCAGTCACTTAACCCTTTTTGCCTCAGTTTCCTCATCTGTAAAATAAGCTGGAGAAGGAAATGGCAAACCACTCTAGTATCTTTGCCAAGAAAACCCCAAAACGGGGTTGCGGATAGTCAGACATGATTGAAGTGACTGAACAACACCAACAAAAACCAATGTCTTTGATGCAAAGTCCTTACAAGGGAAAAAGTTAACCCCTTTGAAAGCAAATGAGATTGTGGGAGGATGGTTAGAGGAAATACTGAGAAAATAGTTTTATTTTGTAAATGGCTAGACTTACAAGAGCTTGGAAATAAAGCAGGACTAGAGAAGTTATTAAAAGTTTCTTGGGTGACTTGATCAGAGGAAGAAATTGGATTTTGAAGATGGCCATTCAAATCCCCACCTGTGCCACTTCTTCTTTGTGTGGCCTTGGGCAAGTTGATTAGTCTCTGAACCTCAGTTTCCTCATCTATAAAATGAGGGGGCTAAACTTGATGATTTCTAGACCTCTTTTCCATTTCAAAATATGATAAACCCATGAAATGATTCCTTACAGTTGCCTTGCCCTGGCCCAAGTTCCCAAGATCCCAAGGACCAAGAAATGTTATTTTCTTTCCTACCATCCAGGCTGAGTAACACAGAGAGGAGGGATTCCAGTAGAGGGGGACTTCTGTGAACCCAGAATGGTACCCTGAAATCCTGGACTTGCTCTGTAAGCATACAGCTTAAAAGTCTGACACTTCAGGTCCAATTGCTTCCATCCCAAGTTCAATCATCCTCAAGGCCAACAGTGTGTGTGTGTGTGTGTGTGTGTGTGTGTGTACGTGCGTGTGCTAGATGTCATATAAAGTAATTTGTCCCCTGGGGATGGGGGCGTTAGACCAATACCAGGTGATCTTGATCCTCTAATTTTAGAACACGAGATGTAGTGAATACAAATTTTCTCCTAACTGTGTTTCCAATTTCTGGCCCTTTGTATCACTTTTTTAAAAAAAAATAATCACGTATTTTTGGGGGTCCCATACACAAGAAGCCCAGGTCATTAAGTATTTACTAGTTCGGAGGCTGTGGAAAGACCTGTTGATCAATATCCCACTCGACCAAACCTCATGACTGGAAATCCCCTAGTCTAAATGCCACTTGGGCCTCAGCACCTGCCAGAAGACATGTGATCAAAGCCAAGACAATGAATTTGAATTGTCCTTGAGGGAGATGAAGGGGCAGGGAATACAGTCCAGAGCAGTAGGCTAAACCCACAGCTATGCGAAGAGAGTACGTTCAAGGGGTGGGAGAGAGATTAGAATTCCCTGTCATGGCCTGTGTATGATTCCCAGGACTGAAAAACAAAACAAAACAAAGCAAAACTCTTTACTCAAGAACTTGAACTCTATAAGGAAATGAGAATGTGGTGGGAAGCTCATGAGGGCCTTTGGTGATTCTCTTTGGGCATCTGTAGAAAAGGGGAGTCTACCGTACCCCTCTCTTGAGCGTTTGTTTCTCTGTTGGCCCTTTCCGTGAATTTTGAGGACCTGACTTGGAGTCAGGAAGATGTGGGTGCAGGCCCTGCTTCTGACATGTACTAGTGTGGGACCCACAGCAAATCACTCAACCTCACCATGCCCCCAAGTGACTTAATAATAGCTCTAAATTACAAACATATTGCTGGATTGGTATTAGTGAAGAAAGTTTTCCATGATGGAGGCTCCCTAAACCTAAACTCTAAAAAATAATAAGAATATTATTATTGTTAATAATAAATCTAGCATTTATATAATGCCCTAAGGTTTGCAATTTAATTTGATCTTCCCAACTACCAGGGAAGTAGGTGGTATTATTGTCCCCATTTTATAGATGAAGAAACTGATTGAATTCAGGTCTTCCTGACTCTAAGTCCAGCTTCTAACCACGTCACTGCTGAGCTGCCTATAATGATGATGATGATTATGTAACACTGGGTAAGGCCATTTCTGAAAGGAAGGAAGAGGGGCCCCTTCCGTGTGGCCATGTGTTCCTGAGAAATCCCACCTTGGGATGATCCCTTTTCCAAGTGTGACTACTTTTCCCCCAGGTCACGCTCCCTCAGCTCTCCTTTCCCAGTTTGCTATGGTGGGGTAGCTTCTCTGACACACAGAACAAAGTCAGAGAATTTTTAAATGACCACTCACACAACACCGTAGCATAATGGGAAACCCATGTTTTCATGACCCACATAAAACGTAATCAAAGAGATGTTAAAAAAAAAAAAAGAAGAAACTCATTACTATACACAAGAATATAGCATCAGAAACCTGGGCAATAGCCATTGACTGATTTAAAGTAAAATCTCCACTAAGCCAGTCACAAATATGAAGAGATTGACTGTGTGGACTAGCCATGGTGCATTAGATTAATTAAACTCCTCAGCAAATGAAATTGCCTAAGATTTTTTTTTTTGTACCTGTAATGAGCATAACAGTCTAGGTTTTTAGGTTATACACTCAGGGTTGCCAACTTTAAAAATGGAAATTATCAATAACAAGCCAGGGTGATAACCATGCATATTTTGTTATTTGGGCTGTAAGTAGGCATAAGCTAGTACCTAGGGCAGGACTGACAGTGTTTAGAACAGGAGATATTAAGTAAATATTAATAATTCCTTAACAAAGAGATTTTAATAAGCAGCTAGAATTTAGGCTTTACCTGGGTCATAAAAGAAGTTGGTCAAGGTAAATGGGTGCCTCATATCTTCTGTCCAGAAGCAGTGTGCCATAGCAGATAGAGATTAGCCCAATGAGCCAGAGAGATGTGGGTTCAAGCCCTGCCTCTGAAGGCATTAGATTAGCCAGTTGGCTATGTGAACCTAAGCAAGTGGATTTGTTTTTCAGCTGAAATTTCTTCATATTTAAAATGGGTTGTTGTGAGGATCAAATGAAGTAATGTATCTAGAGTATTTTTGTAAGCCTTAATAACTGATAATAAACCTTTCAGTGTCCCCAGGCAACTCTTTAAGACTGGCTATCAAGCAAGTGCTCATCTGTATTGGGGTCTTGACAAGCCACTTAACCTTTCACCATCATGTCAATGTCTATGTGTCTATGTCTATGTCTATGCCTCTATGTCTATGTCTATGTCTATGTCTATGTCTATGTCTATGTCTAT